AAAAAGAAGCAATCGGAACACTGAGCTGGATCCAGATGTAGGTATGTAACTGTGATTAAGAAATTGGCTTTTTTGCCCCTTCTTTCCCATGGCAGTTCCTTCAGTCATCCTCTCCTGCTAAATGAGGTAAGGTGGGAGGAAGATGTGGGAAAATCCATTTCTGCCAACAAGAACAGAAAATTAGATGAAAGTTGGAAGCATCTTATGATTCAACATAACTATAGTGTGATGTAGTGGATCTATTATATTGTTCCACCAATTTATAAATGAAGCATAAAGGAAAGTAAACTTGGGTGTCTAGGCTTGCCCTGGACCTTATTACCACTTAGAGGACGAGGTGAACATGTGACACTGTAAAAACAGAGGTGCCTGGTGAATTCTGGCAGCTGTCGTTTCAACACAACTAGAGAACGCAAGGTTGGGAAGGCTGCATTGGGTTAGCACCTCTTCTGGGTGCTCAGTCCTTTTCCAATTCTGATTCTACAAAGGTCAATTTAAAGTGCATCTGAGGTTCTTATTTTCAAATGATATTTGGTTGGGTCAAGATATCAAATGGGTCCCTATTTTCTTCTTGGCAAGCCCAATCTATGAATTGTGAAAGCTACTGCTGTTGGTAGGATACAGGCTACAAATGTGAAATACATTAGATATTTCACATTTCCTAGTTATGTGATTTTCTACCCCAGCCCAGCTTCTCTGGATTGCTGATGCCAAGTATGTAATGGTAGTGTAGCCTCTCCCATTCATTTCCATAGCAATGATCCTCTTTTTCTCCTGCGGGCAGCACTCAGCTAGCCAGGCCTTTTGTGGCTGGTTTTAATTAAAAGACTCTTAAGTGTGAGACAAAAGCAAAGACAAGGGGTCTGTGCAGGGATAAAATATCAGGAGGGAGAGTCTTCCCTTCCTCTTGTAGCATGCAAGCACTAACCCCCACCCCAAACCACCAGGCATCAATGCTAACAACCCTGAGCAAGAGGAAGCATTCTCAGACCCATTAAGAGTAGTTTTGGAGAGTGGAAACTGTGACTGGGGAGCCTGGCTGGGTGGACCTGAAAAGGAAAGGAAAGAAATTGTGCTTTGATGTACATCTTCCCTGTAACAACCTAACCCATTGCTGCATCACTTGAACAGCTCTTTTATTGTGCAGGTATCTCAGCAGGAGGGCCTTTCAAAGTAAAAGTTACCTGCCATTAAAATCACATATGTTGGCTGGGAGCAACATACAAAATCACCTATGCAATATACATTATATGTAATATAGTATGTCATATATAATACACAGCCTGGTACAGGACCCAGTAACAGCATAAAAGTTCACTTTCACTGCATCACCTCTTCTGAAAACAAAAAACATCAGCAATCTTCCTTTTCTCCCCTCCTTTCTCTAATAACGGTGCTCCTTCCTCTATAAATTTATTTTGTCCATGGCATGATTTAGCATACTGAAGTCTGGCTAATCAGAATGTGATGCATCAGATATGCATAACTATTTATTTATTTACTACAGTTTATGTGTCACTCCAATCCTCAAAGGACTCCGAGTGTTTGCCTGCCCTTTTACAATAAGAAGATTAAAAACAAGCAGAAAACTATGCAATGATTAAATTACAATAACCCTAATGCTTGACGAACAGTTAAAACATCATACCAAAAAACCAAAAACCCATTAAAAAGGTGGGGGGGCTTGTATTCCGTACCCAAGATTCTCTGGAAAAGGCATGTTTTAAAGACCTTTCCAAAAAATAACAGGGTCGGGGCCAATCTAAATTGAGGCGTATGCTTTTGCAAAGAAGGTGGTCTGCAACAGAGAAGGCTCATTCTGTTATCCCGTTGAAGTCAATGGGATTAAAAATGACATGGCATTTTTAACATGACAAAAAGTTTATAGTAGATTTTTACTGGCTATTGATTATTCAAATGTTACCCAACTAATTGCGGGTGATTGTAACAATACAATACAACATAAATACCCCCCAAACCACAAAGGCTAATCTTCCTTTACACACGAATCTGTTTCTAAGATCATGAGCCAAGCAAATTTAAGGTTCCATCAAGTTGACATTCTGCTTATGCTCCTGTAACATCCATGCAACTTAGTGAGAATCCAATGCACTTCCATTGCAACTTCTGAAGAAAACAAAACCCTCCACCTAGCAACAATAATGGCCCCATACTCAGCTTCCAGAAAACATCAGCAAAACCAATCAATCACCCAGCTGCAACCGTGCACTGATGAATCTCCTACTCCCAGCAGTGAAGCTTACGTGAGAATAAGCAGACATTTCACATCACTCACAGGACCCAAAAGGAACATAGCGGGTGCCACAGTATCTTCAGCTATAAATTCATGTGGTACAATTTGGAAGCCCACTTAGTTTAGGATAATTCTCCCCGCCCCCAATAATACCTCCTATGCCCCATTCCATTCCATATTGTGCTGGAAAATTTATATTTTCACAAAGTTCATTTCAATACCAGAGGAATCCGCTATGGGGCTTGATCTCAGCAAAATCTGCTGAGGGTCAGGCCTTGGAATATGTGTTAGGATGTATTGTTAGACCAAGGAATGTCTTAACTTCTGTAGGTTTATTATTCTTCCAGTAAAACTTTATTTACAACTACAGATAATTAAAAACGACAGATATTGCTAGACAGCTCATAGGTTTAGATATGATTTAGATATACAATAAAAAGAAAAGGGCTGGAAAAGCAGCCCATTAAAGCAGCGAGCTCAAGCTCCTCCACCACAAGTGTGGTGTTGTGGTGAAGGTGCTAAACCCGGAGCAGAGGGACCCAGGTTCAAGTCCACCCTCAGCCATGGAAGCTCACTTGATGACTTTGGGCCAGTTATAATCTCTCAGCCCAACCTACCTTACAGAGATAGTATGCAAGGGTGGGGGGAATGAAGGAAAAATACTATGTATTTCCCCATGAATGAAGGTGGAATACTGTATAAATCTAATAAATTAAAGAGTGAAATTTTGTGTATGATGTACACACAGAGGAAAATCCCAAAGCAAACATTATGGTATGGAACGCTCTTATTTAGAGACTGCCCACCAGCCATGCCTTCTTCCAAAGTACTCCAATTCCCTCTCCCTAAGTCTCTGTACTTCTCCATCATCACTCCAACAGTAAGTTGGCAGCCTTCCTTTGATGCGCGGTTTGGGGCCTTTTGTTCTCCTATTAAATTCCTACCTTGCATTCTCCTTCTGTAAATCTTGAGGCTCCCTTGTTACCTCCCTTGTGTATGAGTGTACTGTTCATAATGGATTTCAAGAGAGGGGAGAAGAAACGTAGTGGTCAGGAGAAGAATGTTTTTCTCCCAGCATTGAGTAACCAAAGCCCAAACCTCAGAACTCGACTGGACTCCCAGGGCTGTGTCTTGCAAGCTACCTAGACAAGCGATGCAGGATGAATGAGGCAGAGAGAGGTGGGTGGAGTGGAGTACAGAGCACAGGAAAGCCAGTTGGTGTTGCTGCCTCCAGGGTGGGGAATACAGTACAGCTAATTATTTCCCATGTAGCAAATCTCTTACACAGGATAAAAATTTGTCATAGCAGCCCAGAAGATTCTCCAACCTTATAAATAGCTGTCCCCTTTGGCATTTCTCTTGTCACATGCAAACAGTGGGGGGCTGGAAGTGGATTGAAGCAAAAGGAAACAGCTCCCAGACTGGCTCAGCAAGCCCAAAGCCCACCTGCAGTCTCTTTTAACCTTCCCTGTTTTGTACTATCACTTCCCTAGGAGAGTTAAAATAGTTTCCGGCAGCCCTAGCAGCTGGGCACACTTTGCCAAACTCTACAGCAGGCTGGATTTCTTGGGTACTCTGTAACTGACTGCAGGTCTCAGAGCAAAACTGAATTTACCAAACATTTGCACACTACACTTTCACAAGGTCCAGACAGATTCTGATTATTTGCTCCTATCGCAGGGTTGGTAGCTTCAACCCTCACTCAACCTGCTTTCAGTGTTTAGACCAATGTTTTTGAAACTTGGCCACTTTAAGAGATGTGGACTTCAACTCCCAGAATTCCCCAGCCAGCATGCTGGCTAGAGAATTCTGGGAGTTGAAGTCCATACCTCTTAAAGTGGCCAAGTTTCAAAAACACTGGTTTAGACTGACAGAATCATACCCAGCTCTGTTCTCAGCATCCTGGCAACACAGCCTTATATAGTG